CCAACAACCTTGCCTCACTTTTGAGTGAGTCTATTGTTGCAAGGTGCTCTATCTTCTCAGCCTCTAACTCCCTTATGCACTTCTTTTGTTGTTCTCCTTGCTGTTATAATTCTACACTTCTTGTGCATAGCTTTTTGTATGAATCTGCAAGTTCATCATAAGTTAGCTCATCTTCACTTGAATCACCATCAGATATGCATACATTATTCAGAACAGTGACATGTTTAGCACATTCTTCTTCTGATCCACTTTCAGAATCTCCATCTGACCAAGTGACTGCTAATCCCTTCTTTTGCTTCTTGAGATAGGTGGGGCACTCAGTTTTAATGTGACCATAACCCTCAAATTCATAACACTGAACTCCTTTACCTTGGTTAGATCTATCTTCAGATTTTTCCCTTCTGTTGGTGTCATAAGAATTGTTCTTGGCATAAGGTTTAGACTTATGGTATATTCTCTTGATTAATTTTTTAAATTGTCTTCCAAGCAAGGCTATTGCTTCTGATAAATTCTCCTCACTTTCACCATTGTCTTCATCAGAAACTTCTTCAGCCTTTGACATAAAAGCTATGCTTTTCTTCTTTTCATCCTGATCACACATTCCCATGTCAAAGGTTTAGAGAGAACCAATGAGTTCATCCACCTTCATATTGCATGTGTATTGAGCTTCTTCAATGGCAGTAACTTCCATGGCAAACCTTTTAGGCAAAGATCTGAGAATCTTTCTCACAAGCTTTTCTTCAGACATCTTTTCTCCCAAGGCTCTTGAGGTGTTTGCAATCTCAAGAATATTCATGTAGAATTCATGAATAGTCTCATCCTCCTTCATCCTCAGACTTTCAAACTTGGTTGTCAACATTTGTAATCTTGACATCTTGACTTTAGAGGTTCCTTCGTGAGTTGTTTTGAGAGTATCCCAAACCTCTTTAGCCAGCTCACAATGATGCACCAGTCTGAAAATGTTCTTGTCTATACCATTGAATAATGCATTCACAGCCTTAGAATTTCCAAGAGTCAAGGTTTCTTGCTCTTTGGTCCATTCTTCTTCAGGTAAAAACACAAATACTCCATCTTTATTAGTCTTCACTGGATGTTTCCATTCTGAGTTTGCCGTTCTCCATGTCTTGCTGTCTGAAGACTTTAAGAAGGCTATCATCTTAGGTTTCCAGTAGTCATAATTAAAGCCATCTAGAATTGGTGGTCTATTTGTGAATCTTATATCTTTATCCATAGTACCAGAATTTATCTTCCCTAGATCTCACCCAGAAAATAACAGGCAGGATGCCTGCTCTGATGCCAATTGAAATTCTGGCAAGCATAAAATGGATGTTATCACGGATGTTATGACATCCACTGTAACACAGACTGCTGAACTTACTAATAAGTTGTAAATGGAAAGCAGTAAATAACACAAGTAATTGTTCACCCAGTTCAGTGTCAACCACACCTACATCTGGGGGCTACCAAGCCAGGGAGGAAATTCACTATTAGTAGAATTAATTCAGAGTCAAACAACCTGTTTGCACTCTTCACTTAAGACCTACCCAATGACACTTCATCCTAGAGACCACTAGACCTGAGTTTCCCACTCACTCCCCCTCAATCACCTTAGTGATATAAACCAATACACAATTACAATGGAGATATGAAGACACTCTTCAAACACACCTTGATCTTACTTCACAGCTTTAATCAAGAGACACAACACTCTTGCTTAAAAGCTTTCAGTGGCACAATGAACACAACAGTTCATACACACTAAACCAATGCAATTATACAGCAGACAATTGCTTGGCATACAAGTATCCCTAAGACACGCGTGAAGAACCAAAATTCTCCACTCACACAATCCACGTGAAGAGCAACCTCTTCACTCACAGAACACACTCTCCAATCTCTCTCCAGAAGCTCTGCCTTAAAGCTCTGCCCTATTTGGAGTGATTCTTCTGTTATTTATAGCAGCAGACTTGCTTTGGGCCTTAATGGAGAAATTAGGTTTACCTAAGATAAACCTCACTTCATGAAGCTGCGCCCTTATCATTAGGTCAGGAGTCTTCTATGTTATCCTCAGCAATGCCTGTTATGTCGCTTAAGATAACTAGGCTTCCTGAATTGTTTCCTGAAGTATAGCCTGAGCTAATAATAGAAAAACTAACCATGTGCGCCCTGATGTCATAACATCCAACATGACATTCAGCTTCACTTACTTTTAGCTCTCCATGCAGAACACTCTTCATGTATGTCATAACATCAGTTATGACATTCATACATACTCCAATGTTTTGCCATAAAATGCAGCCAATCAAAAGCATCTACAAACTCTATCAAAGTCACGTTGAAAAGCTACCTTAACTCAAAAGCCCCAAATAGTTGTTTCATTATTTTCACCTATTTTTGCATTTGGATATGATTTTTTAACATGATTTAGTTTTCTAACACGAAACCAAACACCTACTAGATATCTTCGCACATATTCTCTTCATTTGTCGGCTTAACATGCATCCACTAGACTAACCTTATTAGATGAACTTAGATCCCATAAAAATTCAACTTTACATTCCAATAACTTTTGATAAAGAATTTATTTTATAGTGTTGTCATCATCAAAACCAAATAGGCAACTGATTGTTGCAGTCAATATGACTGCAAGCACATAGATCCACATTCTCCTCATTAATTTTATGATGACAAACAACGCGTCTCTCAGAAAGGTGGACAAATAAAAAACAAAAATGATAGATTGGAATGATTAAACTCCCCTTAAAAAATATATAAAGTATACCCTACTTCTTATAAGAATCTGTTTAACATTATCAAAAAAAGCAGAAAAAGGTAACATATAAGCCGAAAAAGGTAACATATATGGAAGGAAATATTGTAAACATTAAACTATAAGAAATGATCTTCCCCCATCTTAATCTAATAATCTACGGTCGACTCATCAAACCAGCTCTAGAGGTATATTTTAATGTGTAATTGAAGGTGTTGTTAAATAATACAAAAAGAGCCGGACAAAACAAGGTTGGATTGCAATAAATGAATGAGAATAACCAATTGTATGTTTCTGGGTCCTCTGGCCTCAATTATGACAATTACTCCCACTTTGTGATGGTTATGTTTATGGAAAAGAGGACCTTCTAACATCATAGTCATTATTGACTCCAGATGAAACGTGGTGAAGCTTCAAATTCTGCCAAATTCAAACAAGCATTAAACAAACACCAACTACCACTCCATAACTCATTCTGAACTTCCATTTAAGTATCCAACACTGTTGAGGTTCCATATTATCACTTTGTACTTCTGTTTGTTTAATTTTAGAATCTCAAAATTGTGTCTTGAGTCATTTATATATAGTAAAAATGTCTTTATCTTTGAATAGAATTTTCATACAGGGAAGAGGTTGTAATACAACACCACTATAGGATGAAAATGACTTTACATGTAGAAGAGGTGTTTGCTTTTTCTGATATAATGTAACTTCACATTCGAACAACTTGAGTGCCTGCTTCAATTAGTTGAAAGGAACATGACATAGGTGGTTGCATACAAAGATACAGGTCTATTTTATTATTGAACTATTGTTTGTCGGTATCCCTCTTCACGATAAAATTAATTTATCAATATCAATAGACAAATGCTAACATTTGATAACTGTGTTCTAGTATTGATTTAGAAGTATAAATCACTCCATCTCATAGTGAGTGTTTTATTTGAAACAACTTCTCTCAAATTATGTTTACTAGGGCTGGAAATGAGTCGAGTCGAGTCGAACTCACCTCAGCTCGGCTCGACTCGTTAAGAATTGTTCGAATTCGAGTTCGAGTTCGACACGAACTTTTTTTTAAGATCAAACTCGACTCGTTACAAGTTCACGAACAGTTCGGTTCGACTCGTTAGGTTCATCTCATTAGGTTCAGCTCACATGGTTCACGAACTTAAAAACTATTTTTTTAAATATATATATTTTTTAGTATATTTGACATTTTAAATAAATATATATATTTTTAAATAAAATATTAAAATAAAATAAAAGTTATCATATTGAAATTTAACTTTATCTTCGAAATCTACTAATTCAAAACCTACACAACTTTCAAGAGATACATTTGAGAGTCTAATTCAAAAACTAATAAATTGAAGATTAAATTTGTCTAAGATTTGAAGTAAATATTTAAACCTAATCTTAAGGACAGTATAATTCTTTTCATATGTAATCGAGTTGACTCATGAACCTAACGAGTCGAACTATGTATAGTTCAAGTTCAGCTCATTTAGTTAACGAACTTAATTTTTCGCTCATACTCAACTCATTTGGTTCATGAACCTAGTTCAACGATTTAATTGTCGAGTCGAATTCCGAACTATCTTCGAGTTGGTTTGGTTCATTGCCAGCCCTAATGTTTACTATAATACTAATCCAACATATTTTATTATCTGAATCAATGTTCCCGTTATTTTTTAAACTAATAAATAAAATACAAATATATATATATCCCAACTGCTCAAGCATCACATCAATCAATAACAGGTAAAGCTATTAAAAGACCAGAGTAAACCTAGGAACTTGATACATAAGCCATGTCATTGTCTGGTATGCTTCATGATCAAAGCTTCTAAGAGAACTCAGACTGAATTCACATTGATGTGAGGAAAATAAATGCAAAGTATGTGGAGCAATTACTGATCACAGGACAAAGCGATCAATAATCATTAATCAAATTCGCAAACTTGCTGAAAGGGCGTGATAAAATATGACATACATACATTGCATATAGTAAAAACTAGTAAATTTTATGCCAAACTACTCTGAATTTTACAGAAATTGAGCTACTGATGCTAATTAACCTGTGCCAACCCTCGAATTTAACAGGACAAAATGGGGGTAAGGAAGGAAATAGGGAGAGATATTTGACATCACTCATAATAGGATGCTAACCAAGATATCACAACAAAAACATGATGGTGTTCCAATGAATTCAGACCCGCTCAAATCTATTTCAAATTTTCAGCTGCTCCAAACTCTTCAAAGTCTCTGGTTGTGGTGGGCAGTTCTCAGTCTTGTCCGTCTCTAGAACTTTAGCTGGAAGCTTATCTTGTTCAAGACGGGCAGGTAGATCACTTCGGATGGGGGGAGATTCATCTTTTCTTGGTGGCGGGGCAGCAAATACAGGAATAGCTTGTCGAATACTTACAGGAGGAGCAACTCGTACAGGCGGAGCCCGTATAACCTGATGAACTGAGGCGGGTGGTGGAAGAGGTGGTGCAGAGAACACGGGTACTACCGTCCTCATAGCCACTGGAGGTGCAATCCCATGGCAAGGTGATCTCATTTGTCGAATGGGAACATAAGGTGCTGCTCCTGCTGCAGGGAACCTCGGAGGACGAGTCATCCAGTTTTCTAGTGCATAAGATTGTGGGGGCTGCACAATGGACTTGTCACTGGTTGCTGTTGTTGGCGGATGCCTGCTTCGCGGATTTTCATTTGATGTTGCCGATGAAGGTTTGTTTCGAGGTCCTGTCTTTGGGCAAATTAGGGGAAGGATCTTAGATGTGGTGGCAGGAGGTTGAGAACTAGTTGGCCTGAGATTTTGAATCTGAAACTTCTTCTGAAACGGAATCGGAGCATTTCGGTTAGACATTGACATCTTTTCCTTCAGACGGTAGTTCAGCAAAGCCCGAGCTATAGTGATCTGTTCTAATTCGTCATTGTTCTCAGGTTCAGTTGAAGAGCTAGCACTCTCTTTTGCCACTGATGAGAAAGGAAATTAGTGTTAATTCATATTCAGTCCTTTACAAGGGAAATAAAAAACCTGACTCGAATACATAGAAAATGATAGTGGTCTAGAATAACAGAAAAGTAACACTTTATGGCACATAATATCATGTCTTCAAAGGAATTTAACTTAAAACAAAAAAAAAACATATGCGTCTAAGAAGGCTTGTTATTACTGTGTTGAAGATCATATTGCCCTTAACACAAATAAATTATGGAAGCACAGTAATTTTTCAAATATATTGTTCGTGCATCACCCACCTCAATACCATTAGATGAAACTTTCAGCCTAAACCATTGACCACGTGACCACATGTTTTAAACAAAATATGAAAAATCAAGAAAACAGGCTTAGGTATTGTATGTATCTTCAGAAGACAAATTCATGTGAAGTGTGAACATTCATATATTTTCATGAAAAGCAATAAATTTTTTAAACAAAAGGTTAGCCACCCACTTACATTGCTTTAAAGATGACCAAGCTGCCATAGCTGCATTTTTCTCGGCTTGTTTCTTATTCTTGGCAGGTTCACCGGTAAATGTGATTCCAGCTAATTCTACTATCCCAGTAAAAACAGGTAAATGTCCTAGGCCTGATCTGAATGTTGTGTACTGAGGCAATGGAGCTCCTACTCGCTGTGCAATTTCCTGTAAGAGGTTCTTGTAAACTCCAGTCTCATCCTACAAAAAGATGAACATGATGAGTATATGAACAAAAAGCTACTAAAGGTATGAAGAAGACATGGAAAAGCTGCTTTATGGATAAGTAGCCATATTAGCAATGAAATCAGGCTAATATAGAAACATATTTAGAATAATGCTACCTAAACTAACTCCAACAATGGATCAGAAAACCCATTACCATCACTGGACCAATTCTCCTTTTCTCAAAAATTCTTTTTTGATTTGGATATAATACATCCAGAGGAGAAAATAGTGTCATGTACCATGTGCGGGATTCCTACATGGTAAGGGGAAAGGTCAAAGACTAAGTATGCAAAGACTATCTGTAATGGGTCTCTAACTAACCCTTCCCTGTATCCCCCGCCATGGTAGAAGATTTACAGCAGGTAACCTTTGCTTTATCATGTCTTATGAATGCTTACATATATTAACTCCAACGTTTCACTAATAATACAACTTTTCTTCAGAAACAACACTATTTACAATCTATAAAGTAAAAACATTTCTCCATTTTCAAGTGTTGAGTCAGACAAACTTCCTGCCAACAATAACACCAATACAACAAATGCATAACACTCCTCACCAGGTGTCTGATTAAAAATATTTATTTTTATTAACATGGAGATGTGCCAAACATGTGCGGATACCTCTTGGACACTTCACCAACACTCAACTATAGGTAGACAAATCTAGCACACAACTCTTATAAAAGAACTTCCACTTTGTTTTTTAAATAACTTTCGGGAAAGTCAACTATACACAGCCAAGCCAACATATGAATGGTTGAAATTGACACCATTCATTCACACTCTAATGACTAACAGCTCCATATATATGTGTCTATGTATGTAAATATCGTGCACTCATGTCTAGTGTGAGTGTCGCTTGTGTATTAGGAATATAATAAAAAGGTCAATGCATGTGTCAGTCAACAAGCAAAAGTGACTAACAGATTGGATATGACTAATGTAATGGGGCACTTAAAAAACTACTGTTGTTTACTTTAGATACTACTGTTAGACAATTTTTTCTATAAAAATAGTCAAACACCATACTTTTCCCATCACCAATCCCCAATCAAAAGTCAACATTATCATCCAAACTAACTTTAATGTAATACGTTTTTCTTTGCTCCTTGTTGAACCAATACAATAATTGGTTTTATACAACATGTAAAAACAATCAATATAAGAATTCTAGTGAAACTTACAGCACTGTTCAAATACCAGATTGAGAATCTGGGAAACTTACCCAATACTACTCTAGTTTTATGACATTTCTTCGGTAACATAACATTCAGATATTCAAGTAGCACTTGAAGCAATATAAAAATAGAGAATATGCGACATTCCTTCCCTGTATCACACTACCAATGACTAGTCACTAAAAGCGAACCGAACAGGCACAGCACATGGGTGTATTAAAGGTTTTAAAAAACAGTCTGTTACTGTGACAAAATGGTATTGGAAGGTGTCAATACCGTTATTCAGCGTTTTTATTCTGAGAATAAACCACAGATGAACCGCGCAAAACGCCATTACAACACCTTTCCAGACACAAATTTTCAGAAAATAATATTTATAAATGTTGTGATTAATTTACACCGTGACAACCACAATCAATAAAGCAGCACCTGTACTGACCAAAATCACAAAAGGCTTTATTCGATGGCGGCTGTTATTTAAAACCTTGAGTGTATTCTAAACTTTTAATTCCAGCATTTCTTAATTTTCTTCAAGGTTTAAAAAAACAGTGTTGGTGTAACAAAGTGATATTAAGCGGTCTTGGAAGGAGCCCATATCATTATTCACCGTTTAATGCCGAGAAAAAATCCATGGATGAAACACAAGAAATGCCCTTACGACACCTTTCTAGACGCGGAATTTTTCAGAAAATCCGCAATCAATAAAGCAGTGCCTGCACCGACCAAAGTCACAAAAGCCTTTAAGCCACCGTAACCGTCAATTAAAACCTTGAGTGTATTCTCAATTTTTAATTCCATCATTTCTTAATTTTGCTCTAGGTTTAAAAAAAAGGGCTGTTACTGTGACAAGGCGGTATTGGAAGGAGCCCATACCATTATTCACCGTTTTTATGCCGAGAAAAAAACCACAGATGAAACGCAAGAAATGCCGTTACAACACCTTTCCAGACGCGGAATTTTTCAGAAAATAATATTTATAAATGTTGTGATTAATTCACACCGCGATGACCGCAATCAATAAAGCAGCACCTATGCCTACCAAAATCACGAATGCCTTTACGCAACCGCAGCCGTTATTTAAAACCGAAACCTCGGGTGTATTATCAATTTTTAATTCCTGCATTTCTTAATTTTATTCACAGTAACATCCATAAACCAAAATCAATAACAATGAAAATGAAAACCTAATCTCCAAAACAAAGCTAAACAGAACTGTTACAGGCGCACATAGATTCAGTGCCATGATTCTTTTATAATTGACACAGTTCCTACCTAATCCTACCTTGAATCATACAAATACAGGGACAGTTTGGTCATTCCAGGACCAACTCCAAATTCAGTCGTCGACGCAGCAAAACACGCGCTTCCTCTCACAGTAACCATGCGCTACGACTCGAAAAAGAGTCCAGGTTCAGAACGCGCAGTCGCGTACGTTAGCAAACATCTCATACTTTTGTTATTTTGTTTTTGTTTCTACTTTTAGTTTCACTACACAAAATATTCTACCGTAACTGAGTTAAGATAACGAAGAACGAAATAAGAAAAAACCCTAAAACCAAAAGCGACATTGATAGATAGAAAAAAAACTCACGAGGATCTTAGCGGCGAGTGAGTGAGAAGGACCACGGTGTGAAAGCGAATTGAGCGCTACTTCGGCAGCGGAATGTTCAGCTTGACGTAGAGTTGAACAGTACTGAGGACTCTCGAAGATCTCGCCATTAAAGTTAACGGTAGCTTTAAACCTCGGCGCGTGATCGGGACCTTCTCGGATACAAGTGTATGAAGGAAGATTGAAGCAGCTCCTCTGCGCCAGCTCTTGAAGCTGGTTCTTGTACATTTTCCGATCTCTCTCAGTTCGCTCGAGTAGTGGAGAAACAAATGAATGCTGTGAAATAGATCGGGTTGGGCGATTCTCCGGCGAGAGCTGGTCCGGTGGTGCCGGGAAACGGTTACCGGCGATAAGGTTTTGTGTTAGGGTTGGAGGATGGAAGAATGAGAGGGAGTTAGAGAGAGAAAGTGGAGGAGCGAGAAAGGAGAAGAAGTAGAGAAGAAGAGTAATTAGTGATTTTCTGGTAATAATAATATAAAATAAATAAAAAATATTACTATTATAAGATAATTTATTTATTGCGTTGTTGTTGGGAGTCAACTTAACGTTACTGCATGGATCTCATCTTTTTCTATACTTTATTGTTACAGCATATTCTTACTTTCTTTTTTATTTGAGGATTTTATGTTTGAAGTACCTTGAAAATAAATATGTTTAAATTCTTTTCTTACATTCTAAGATTTAACTCTTTCTAGTCTTAACTATGAGTAAAGGAACCATTTTTCACATTTACTAGAAAAAATAGTTTAAATATGTTTAATTTGTTTTTATTTTTTATAAAAGAAATAACATAATTACCAACTTATTCCTAATTAAATTACCATCTATTTATAATAAATAATTAATACTATGATAATTTGGAAATAAAATCATTAAACGCGCATAAATTAATTGATATTTATTTATATTTAAGGCAAAGAAAATGATGAAGATTTTTGTTTATAAATAGGAAAATGTTTATATCACGACGACGTTCATTGTATTCATGCGAATGATTTATTAACATATTGTTATGATTTTACGTTTTTTATTTAATTTTTCACCCTCTAATTTTTAGGGAAAAGAGATCTTAGTAATTCAGAATTTGATTTCAGAGATACGTGAGCTGACCAAACATTGTTTCCTCTGCTTTAGAGATATGTGATCTGACCAAACATTGTTTTCACTAAGAATCAAATTCGATATTCTTCAAACATTCATTCTTTAGTAGAATCTACGTATTTTAAATAATTTATAAATACACTTTGTATTCAATTACACGTTAGGTTTGTTCTTTAACAAAACCTACGTATTTTAAATCATTCATAAATACACTTTATATTCAATTACACGTTAGGCTTATTCTACTCACTATACTCTCTTTTCATGTAAAGTATTTCAATGCATTTTTCTTTTTATCTACGTGTTAGAACATTTCTTAAAAATGATTTTAACTATTAATAATAACTTCCATAATGTAAAACCTTTTGTTCAAGTATTCAACTAATATTTCACTTTTTTACAATTCAGTATTTTATTTTTAATCTCGCCAAAAAAGAACAAAATGCTAAATATTTTCTTAATTTATAGTTTAAATTAATTTGTGTTGTTATGTTGAGATAGCAAACAAAGCTGCTCCATGCATCATGTAGAATAGATAAAGATTTAGACGTCAATTAAATCGCATTTTTAACATGTGTTATATGGTAAATATGTTCAATTTTCACGCTTTTGGGATAATCATATGTTGGATTTGATTATGTAACGGTTATATGGTAAATATGTTCAACCTTTACGCTTTTGGGATAATCATATGTTGGATTTGATTATGTAACAAAGCATGGTATATTGATACAAGTTTTTGTATTGGACATATCATATAATGTGTTATGATGTTGATGATAAAAAATATAATGTGTATCGGACATATCATCCAATAAAATTTTCTTTTTATATAAATAAAAAATGTTATAGTTATTTTTAAAAGTGATCAAATATATAAGAGGATTTCTTAATGCACTTATATGTTTCTTACGCATCACGCAAAATTTAAAAAATAACTATAGTTTTTGGAGATGTATTATCGGACGCACCAAAATGTCAGTTAACGTTAAAATATTTTAGAGATGCATCTCCGAAATATTTTAAAGGTTAAATCGCGTCAGATTCTTCTTTTTTTCTCATTTCTCATTTTCCTCAAAACCATTCTTCAAACTCTCATATTTTTCTTTGCACCAACTCAAAACTTAATTATCAAGGCTTAAAGGAACTTCAATCATCATCTCTAACATTGGAAATATCATGTGAAACATCATTTTTTTGTAAATTTTTTGAATTTTCGATAAATGTTTGATTTTTTGTGTAAATGAGTATAAATCAATTATTAAAGTTAGAAATGAGTAGAAATAACATTTAAGGTAATTTAAATATAGTGTATAAGATGTTTGTTGACAGAAAATGATGAACAAAACAAGTTTTTTTGAGATTTCATGGGGTACATTGACGCAACTTCTAAGTTGCAGGAAATTCCGGAGATGCATCTCCAGAATTTTTCAACATTTTAGTTTCCCCTAAATTTCGGAGATGCATCTCCGAAATTTTCTGCAGTGTTTTTTTTCTTGCTTGTGTGTTGCTTGTCTGCACTAATAGTCTGTCTTACTTTAACTTACATGCATAATAGGTGATAGACATGATAGACTGAGGCTAAGGAGGCTTATGGTCCCTCTGGTCAGGCATAGTCATCTACTTCCGATGCTCATGCTTCTCCTCATGCAACTCCACCATCTTCTTCCCGTAGGAGACAAGATTCACCATTTGACACATCACTTCTTCCATCCTCCCGCAAGCGTCAGATTTCACCAGTGCAAATTCCTACTCTAGATGTTGTTGATCTAATCCCACCTCATACTATTGATGTTGTTGATCCAGTGCCACCTCTAGAGGGTGAGGTTGTTGCGTATGTTGAGCCAGAGACATTTAGAGGAGGCTCGGTTAATTTGTCATTATTGCCTCTGTATCCAGACCATACTGACAGTCATATCTAGGACATAGAGGTATCATTAGTTGAATTCATTATTATTTTTATATTAATTTTAATTGACAAATTTCTGACCTAAATTATTTATGACAAATTTCAGGAGCATGATCCGCAAAAGTTTCTTAACCACGGGAGGAAGATTGATGCCTTCTTATCTGGCCTAAAGGACTTGTGCATGACCGGTTATACTACGGTCAGTCACGGGATGCTTAATGCATTCGTGGAGAGATGGCGCTCGGAGACCTCGTCGTTTCATCTACTGCATAGTGAGATGTCTATCACACTTGATGATGTCTCGTGTTTGCTACATCTTCCGATCAGGGGGAGATTCCTAGATCATAGGAGGATGACCAAAGACGAGACACTCGAGATAATGGTAGAGTATCTTAGGGCTAATTTAGGGGAGGCGATTGAGGAGTTGGATAAGGCCAATGGTGCTCATGCTAGATTTGAATACTCGAAGAAGGTATATGAGGCTGAAATCTTGAGTGCGCAGGAGGTTGACGGTGATGATGAGTAGGTGGCACTCCAAAGATTGCATGTATTGAGAGCATACCTGCTTTATTTGGTTGGCACTGCAATTTTTATGGATAATAGTGTCACTTATACAGACGTCATCTACCTAAGGTACTTTGTGGATTTTGAGCGGATTCATGAGTATAACTAGGGGCGGCTTGTTTGGTCTACCTGTATTCGAAGTTGATAGAAGGTTGTATGTGGAAGACGAAGTAGGTCATAGGAAGTGTCACACTATTGATGGTAATAATTATTAGTCTTTGAATGTTTTTTTGTCATTTTTATTTCATCTTTGCAAAGCCATTATTGATAATTCGTGTGTTCCAAACTTTTCATTTTAGGCTTGAATCCTCCAGCACTTCTCGCGCATCTCTGGCTGGGCGAGTGTACCTGAATACATTAAGGATATGACGCGTGCTACTGCTTTTATCCCGCTCAGAAGGAATAAGGCGATTGAGCCTTACAGAGTCTATTTTGACTGTTTGGTTTCTGAGTACATGCATCTCAACAGCTTTGTTGATCACCGTGAGACGTGGTCATTCGATGAGTAGTGTTATACTTTGGATAGTTAGCCTGTGGGTCGCGTCTCACTGCTTCTTTTTTGCCCGAGTGCGTCATGAGGCAATTCGGCTACACTTAAACCATTTCCAGAAACTCTTTTATCTCTGTTCTACATGTTTTGATACATAGACAGATAGAGGACATGTTTGATGATTATGAGAGTCATCTGGTATTGGAGGAGGCACAAGCTACCATAGTTAAGAGAGACTGGAACTATGTTAAAGGGTACATCAGATGGTTCTTCAAGGTGTCACATCCGTACATGGTGCATGTTGCTCCAGGAGATTCGCCAGGACTAGGGGTGGCAAATGGGCATGCCCACCCCATTTAGGCCCTCCCTGGAAAAGCCCGCAAAAATGGGGTGGATGCGGCTGTCATAGTTAAAACTGTGAGCCTAAAACCTAGGTGCGGCCCGCAAAAAAAGTAAGGGCAAGGCGGGGAAAGCCCGCGGACACTGCACCTTTTAAGCCTAAAAACACAACAGTTTATGTAAATACTCGTGCCTGCAAAAACCTGCAAAGAAAACAAGGCGGGTGGGTGGACACATTTAGGGGTGAGGGCATAACCCCTTAACCCGCTCCACATTAAAGTGCAGACAGAATGGTCGTGCCCAACAGGTCGGATCCGTTTTTCCACCCCTAGCTGAGACCACCTCATCACGAGATACTAGAAGAGGAGTCAGAACAGCTAGATTATGTTGAAGATTTCTTTCATAGGTGTCGTCGCATAGTGGAGATTATGCATGCATACATTGAAACATGTATCTTTCCTGATGAGTCTGATGTGAGGCGGGTCCTAAATGCCATCATGGCGGAGGAATAGGGGATATTGTTGTACCAGAGACATCGTTAGAGGACAGGGAATTGATGGTTGAGGAGGTAGACGAGGTAGAGGAGAGATTGTCAGACACACACATTAGTCTCTTCGTATATAGTAGTGGTATTATGGTCAGTATTTTATTTTGACGGTTTTGCTAATGTTTTGATCTCCACCGTATGGTACTTTCAACATTTATTGGTATTTTATTTTTATTTTGCATTTTTTATTTACGTAGATTTTTTATGTACGTAAATTTTTTATTTTCGATTTTATGGTATAATTTAAATCTTCATCTGAACACAGATAAACAAAATAT